TCGTCTGGATACATTTGTGTTGAAGTCTACTTTATCATGTATTAGAGTATCTAAGCAGCTTATTTGCTTGTTAGATTGACTTCTATCCTTTGATGCCACCTCTTTGAATATCTTTGCCAGTAAAGTATTTTTCTGGAGACAATAGATTGTCCGATCTTGGTTTTCTTTCCCCCTCTTTGTTGGCAGTTGAGGTGTTTACATTTAAGTTTATTATTACTGAGATGTGTTTACCAATTCCAGTAATTTTGTTGGTTGTTTTTCTGGTTGGTTGGATTATTTGTCCTTTTCTTCCTTATGTATACATTAAGCAAAAGCTGGTTTCCTGAGCTGGGGAGTTTTCATGTTTTACAGCAGTGATTCTCAACCTTCCTAATTCTGGCCCCACAACCATAAAATTATCTTGGTTGCTATTTCATAGCTTTAATTTTGCTGCTGCTATGAATTGTAATGTGAATATCTATGTTTTCTGATGGTCTTAGGTGGCCCCCATGAAAGGATCATTTGACCTCATAGGTTGAGAACCACTATTTTACAGGAACCTTGATGCCTGGATTTTTCATGTTCTTGTATTTCTAGGTTGCAACTTGTGCATATGGTTGTTTCAACACATCTAATTTGGGGTGATTTCTTATTGAGAAGTCTATTTTTTCAATACATTTTTATTTTCAAGCTCATACATATATACACATACATACATACACACACACTACATATTACATTGAATATATCTCCCACACTCCTTTACTCTACTTGAAGGCCCACTAATATTATAAACAAACTGCTGTAAGCTCAAATTGTGGAAGCCACAGGAATATGCTTAAAATTGATTAAGGTCCCCTACTATATCATCAACAGAAAAAATGGGACCAGGAAAACCTAAGACAAATGTGCTATGAAGTTAAAAATGATTTAAGGCAAATGTGTAAATAGTGAGTAAGAAAAAGAAAGGAGATGAGGACAGGGAAAATAAATAGAACCAAGTTTAAACAAAGGAGGAGAGGGAGAGTGGCAAAGAATGTTGTGGAAGGGAAGAGAAAAGAGTGAAATGCTAGAAAAAGACAGGAAGCAACCGAAAAGAGAAGTATGCAGGACAATGAAAGATAAAAACATGATCTTCAAAATAAAATAAAAATGTTACTAACAGTAGAGTAGACTGCATAAAGGGGGGAGGAACATAGCTCAAAAAAAGGGGAAGGAAAATAGAAATGATTGGTCAATAAAAGTGAAAAATGCTTAAATGAAATTAGATGACTATACGAGGAAGAATTAAAAGCATAAATACTTTTAATACAGTAAAACACAAATACTGCATAGCAGTAACAATAATGAAGGTAAGCACAAGGAACTAAATAAAATTGATATTACAGTGGCTTATTCCTGGGATGCTGAGTCTTGGAGAATTCCTATTACACATAGCGGGTGTAGGGTCAATGAGCTCATGGACTCTTGTCTTCCTGGGTGTCACTTGTATGGAGTCTATATTTGACCAGCATCTGACGTTTCCCACAGCTGTCTTCTCTTTAGTTTTTCCCCTTCTTCAAATACCAGGGATCTCTACTGCCCACACCTATCTGTGGATTCTGTGAGTTAGACAAGTTCTCTTGCCATGCCCAAATTCTCCAAACATTTCCTCTAGCTGGGGAAATCTCTCGAGCTCATTGCAACTGTGGGAAACAATCATGGTGCTGACAGATAAAAGACCTACTCTTGTACATCCAGGGTCTTCTGGGTACTAACCACTCACATGGAGGACTACATCTCAGAGTTCTTGGGCTATTGAGAAGTAGATAGAAGTGAGAGTGGTTCTAGAATTTGACCCATCTGCTGACTTAGGCTGAGGGCTATCAACTCAGGTATTACTCTGTTGGGCCACAACCACTGAGGACTCTGAGCCTCCTACACCCTGCCCTGTTTCAGTTTGCTGATGTATAGCCCTCTCGCTCTTACAACTGCCTGATACGATTGTCTCTGACTTTGGGACTATGGTAGGCTAAATTCATGCTTCCTGGCTTGTGATTCCCGTGATTACTCAGAGCCTAGGATAGCTCCATTTTAAACAATGTGTTGCCTCTCAAGACAGCTCCCAGGCCCTGACCTTTGAGTCATATAGAGTGGCAAAATGGATTCACTCTCCTGAGAGGAGCTTCTGTCTTACCAAAATTAACAACTTGATAGAAACCTGTGATGGTTGTAGATGTGTCCTGAAGGTAGGACTACCAGTCTTTTCTCACCAGAGCCCTCTAGCTGCCTTTGGTTGTGGCTTCTGATTTCCCCTCCCCGAAGCAGGCAGCTCAATGGCTTGAGCCGTGTATAACTCTGTTTTTTAGTAACATGACCTTATCTGTTTCTTGGCATCTTTGGTGAGTTTTATCAGCACTTTTGTGAACTTGTGAAGCTCTTTCTCTCTTTGGAGTCACGTCAGTTCCTCCATGCACTGGTTATCCTCCCTCATGTGGTAACAGGGTGGTGACTTATAGACCACCATCTTACCCAGGAATCTCAACTGCCTGCTTAAATTCTTATATGTTATTGGAAAGGGGTAAGACATAGTAATAGTAGCAGACACTGTTATGAAGAATTTCATTTAGTTCATCTATAACCCTACGGACTGAGTATCATCATAATGCCCATTATTTTAAAGATAAAAATACTTGAGGTAAAGCAAGGTCCATGTACTTGTTCAAAGTTGTGCTGCTCACATTTACAAAGCCAGGAGTTTAATGTAGGCAGTCAAGCATTGGAGTTCGTGTTCTCATTGTGCCATGTTGCTCCTTTAAGCCACATTGCCTGAGCGCATTCTAAGTGTTGTGGTGCATATTCATGTCTTTAGGTGAAATGGGAAGAAGAGTGATGGAGATAAGAATGGTTTCTCTCCCCTGCGCTCTTTCAATCTACTCTCCTGCTTTAGTGACCCTGGGTAGAATTCTAACTTCTCTATACACGAAGAAGGAGTGAAAAGGGTTTATGAGAGGAGAGACCTAAGGCAGCTTGAGTATTCATTCAGGGACTCCGCCAAAGTACAGCCACCACTAGACAGAGTTGGCACGATGAGGCTGGATTGCACTGAGAATAAAGGAAGTAGTAACACAAACTTTACCGTTAGTTTGTGCTGCTTTGCCTGGGCCATAGATTTCTGGATACCTGGAAGAGATATCACTTGACTATGTGTAGTAGTAGACTGAGTAAGAAGTTGGCCCCTGGGGCTGGAGAGATGGTTCAGTGGTTAAGAGTACTGGCTGCTCTTCAAGAAGACCTGGGATCAATTCCCAGTGTTCACATGGCAGCTCACTGCCATCTGCAACTCCAGATGCATGTGGTGCACAGAAATATGTGTAGGAAAAACTCCCAATACATATGAAATTTTTAAAAATAACATTTTTAAGGAATGTAAAATTAAGTTTGCTATTGTCCAAGTGGTTGGACATCATCCAATCTATTAAGGACCTAACCTTAATAGAATCAAAGGATGGAATGTAGTAAATTTGCTCTCTGAACTAGCACATTCATTGTTTTCTACCCTCAGATATCAGCACTATTATATCTCTGGCTTCAGACTCACATAGAGCTTTACAACAAAGATTCACAAGATGGTAGAGGCAAAATGTCCTATGACCTGAAGGCTGCCTGCAATGGCCTAGGAAAAGCTCATGGTCCTAGTCCCCGTATAAAAAAAACCTGGGATCACTAGGGTTGGAGGCAAAAGGCAAACACGGGCTCAAAGAGAGCAAACTTTTCCACCATTCACCTTCTACTTCTATCCAGAATCTCAGCAGATGTGTACCAGTGATGGCCAAAGTCTTGACTAACTCTATCATGGCCTTTTCTGGAAACGTGCTCAGAAACATAACTAGAGCAATGTTTTACCAACTATCTGGATAGCCCTTGGTCCAGCCAAAGTTATCTACAACATTAACCATTGCATTCGCTGAAAATGATAGTTATACAAATATTTTAATTGGAAAAAGGTAAATTCTGCCTGAAAGCTGTGTGTTTTCAGTTAACAGACATAAGAAGTGTTGAGATATTTTCTTCTTTAGGGAAATATGTTTCTTCTGTAACCCTCACATGTAAAATTCCTTTGTCAGCAAATGCAGTGATCCCTAAAATCAAGATTTTACTCTGGATAATTTGGGCTGAATAGTCACCCTTTGGGGTCTCATCTGTATGTGTAGAGGGTAAATAGCACCTATGAATCCTACCTCATAAAGATGCTATTTGATATATGTACTTGCTCAACCAGAGAAAATGTTCTATAGTGGAGATACTTGAGATAGCATATACATTTTAAAGTTTGGTGTTGCTTCACTCCTTCTAGGTGTTTGCTGTGAGCATGGTTCAGCTAACTATTTTAACTGGCCAGTTGGAAGCTAGATGTATTCAGCAATCAGAATAACTGAGGATAATGCCAGTTTGGAAATGTCTTTTATAAACCACAATAAATCACTAGCCTCCTTTTTTTCACTTGGCATTTTTGTGCACAGTGCTCAGGGCCAGGAGAACTATGCACTTTGAAAAGCATGGTGAAAGCTGAAGAAACAAGATATCTTGTCAGAGAAGGTGTGACAGGCACAGAGCCAAAACCATGAAAACATATTCTCTGTACACAGGGTGTACTATTGCCCCAGCCCCAAGTTAACCACAGCTAAAACTATCCTCTGGCCTCAACTTTTCTAGACACAGATTGTGTTGCTAGATGCTTAAAGGGCTCTCTAATTCCTTTCCAGAACCTTCCAAGCCTGTGGCCAGTTCACCATTCATTAACATGTGGCTGAATATGTAATTCAAATCTGTTCAAAGATAGTGACATTGAAGCCAATTAGTGAACCTGAAAAAAAAAACAGGTCACCAGCTCTCTTCTCTCTATCTGGAAAAATGAGGCTGTTCAGAGAATTCCTGGAGGGTGTAGAGTTGTCTTTACAACTCCATGGAGACTTCCCTCCTGTGTTTCAGGGTGATGCTAACATGCTGTACCCTTTGGTCTTGCCTTCCATGTATCACAGGATCGATAAACAAATAAGCAGGTTCCGGAGATGGTTACCTAAGAAGCCAATGAGGCTGGACAAGGAGACACTGCCAGACCTGGAGGAGAATGACTGCTACACTGCCCCTTTCAGCCAGCAAAGGATCCATCAGTGAGTTTCTGTGGGGAAGCCTGCATCATTCTGAGGATGGACTGCATGGTAGAGCCTTTCCCGGGGGAGGACCAATGTAGAACCCATTCCTCCTGAGCCTTTTGTTCATGTTCCATTTATATCAGTCATGGGAGAGCTGTATCAAAAATCCCCCCATCTCAGGTGGCTTACAGTGACCCAATGTTCCCTCCTATGTGTGTTTGGTGACTCATCCTTCCCATGGTGATTCAGACACACAGTTCTTTCTGTCCGTGGTTCTGTCAGTTCCCAGTGCTCAGATGCCAGACAGAGGAAATGGATCATGTCTTCCACACTGAATGAAAATGTGGTTTGTTTGCTCACTTCTATTGAAGTTTGCTGCTTGGTTCCTCTTTCCTTCACTAGTTCAGCAAGTTGTGTTCCCTGGCAGCCTACTTACCAGCTCATCTATTGGTCTCACAACAGTGATTTGTCATTTTTGTCACATAGGCAGAAAGTTGGCTGAGTAACTTAGCCTGGAAAGACTTGCAGAAAGGATCAAGAACTTACTCTGAACTTCCTAAGAGAACAAGGAATAATGGGAGGAGGCAGGGTAGGTGATGACAGAGAAAAGCATATCAAAGCAGCTAGGGAGAAAGCAGCCTCCCAAAGAGACCATTGATCAGGACAGCCCAGCCTACACTAAGACAGACTCAGGAATCCCTGACCTTCCCTGTGCCCAACCTGGTGATGACTTCAGTAAAAATGACTTACCAGAGGAATGGAAAGGGGTGACAGATTGTTTTAAAAATAGGTTGCCAATTCTGACTTTTTAAAAATGTAAACCAAATGGCAGCTGTCAAGAATGTGCAGGGAATGCAAGGTGAATGCATGTTTTAGCAACAGAAAAAATCAATTAAACTCTAGGAGCAAAGGAGAGAAGAAAAACGATGTATAGGCGGTCTGGACTGAAATGTGTTGTGTGGCAAAGATCAATGTAAGATAAGAGAAGCCATGGGGAAGCCTGTAAAACAGGCAAGCATTGCACCCTCGTGGTTCTGACTGATGCCAGCCCAATCTCATTACTTGAACATATAAAACATGAAGCTCATAGCCCAAAAGGCCTCAGTGGAAATTAACAGTCTGATGGTACTTAATATTAATCTGAAGATGAGGATCTGTGGGTGTTTTCTCAAGGCAGAGATGGAAGCTGATGTGCTTCTGCTTTTAATTTAAATCCTGGAGGTCTTTTTAGACCACTAATTGATGTTTTATCCTTTATGAGTGGAATTTGGCTTACTGTTACAGTTTTCCTTTGCTTCGTAGATGGCGGGAAGCTTGCCTTGCACCGGGTAGGAAGAGCTCAAAGTTTTGGGATAATGGGTACACACAGGGATGGGGGGGTGAATGGATGGGTGGGTAGATGGAAGGATAGGGTGGATGAATGGATGGAAGGACGATGGATGGATGGATGGATGGATAAAAGTAGATGGGGTATCAGCGGAGTAGAATATTTCACTAGAAGCTATAGGTTATTTGAAGGGAGTACAGCAAAACTGGAATGGAAGATGTGTCACCACCATCTTCTCACCTGTTGCATTCCTGATATCCTTGCTGTAGGACAATGCTATTCAAATTTCAAATTTAGATGCATCTACATCCCAGCCAGTATCACTAGAGATCATAAATGAGAATAATATTTTTGTAAGTATTTTAAAATATAGAACAATTAGTGGTATTCCACTCTCTGACACATTTGAAAGCCCTTTCAACACACTTGCAAATTAGTTCACTGAATAAACAGTTAGTTCAGAGGTCACAAACTCAATGTCCAAACCTATCTAGGCATTATCTGAGCATAAGCCAAATAATACAGTCCTGACACTAGTATGGCAGTGTAGACCGTGTATTGAATAGCTGCAGCTAGTCCAATAGATTCACATAAAGGGGAATGGCAGTGCTCCAGATTCAGAAAGATGCTGGCAAGTGGTGAAAGATGATTAATAAGAAAACTGCTCACATGGATGTAGACGTGGCCTATTAGGTAGCTAAGGCAACAGATCCTAAGAATCAGAGACTGTGATGTAGGTAAGAGCACAGAAGACACTGGGCAGGGTGGATGGAGGGCTGTGAACATGGTGATTAGGCATGCAGAGGGCCCAGCACCGTTCAAGAAAAGGAGACCAGCCCACAAAAGGTAAGGCTCGAAGCAGCTCAGCTAAAGAGGAAAAGGAGAGAGGCAGCTGAAATAAACAGAGTTCAGGGGGAGCCAAGAGAACAGAGACATTTATATCATGCCAATGGGACATGAAAAATTAAACAATGACCTAGATATTATGGGTGGTGGAAATTCCTTTCTGTTCGAAAATTGTCGTGCGACATGGGCGATGTCCCTTGGATTGGTGTGTAAAGAATAAGATGTGAAGAATGCTGGCTGCCAAGTTGGAAATAATTGCTGATATAATTAGAAAATAAAACTCCCTGAAGATGTTTTGAGGATGATATTAATGGGCTTAATTTAATCAGAAACAGCTGTTTAATGAGCTCTGGGAGCTGTGACATGACATCCCAGCTTTCGACATGCATCCTAAGGACTCACATGATGTGTTGATTTTGCACAGGTTTCTTCTTGTGTTTTTGCTGGAGTGAAATAGAGTGGTGGAAACTGTGGGTCACGAATGTGATGTATAAAATAGAACTGGAAGCTTGATAAATCAAGATCAAAGTGGGAAAGTGTCATAAAACCAAGCACTAAGTAACTCCTACGTCTGTCTCCCATACCCGTGCTTAGCCATACTGAGCCCTGGCCTCCTTCAGTCACCTTGTCCTTCTGTTCCCTCCTACACCCTTCCTCCCTCCACCTGGAATAACCTTTCCCTGAGACTCCCGTCTTTCAGGATCTACCAAAGTCATTTCTCCTAGAAAACTTTCATAGTATCCAGCCTCTACCAGTAGTTCCCAGTACTATGCAATCTTCCATATCTTGGTAATATTTTCCCTTTAATATGGTATCTTTTCTTTGAATATAGTATGTTATAATTGTTTTCCCTCAAAGTACAAGTTCCCGCCATTTTCAATGGCGTATTCACTGTGAACTCCCACGATATCTTATAATTGTTTTCCCTCAAAGTACAAGTTCCCGCCATTTTCAATGGCGTATTCACTGTGAACTCCCACGATATCTTATAATTGTTTTCCCTCAAAGTACAAGTTCCCGCCATTTTCAATGGCGTATTCACTGTGAACTCCCACGATATCTTATAATTGTTTTCCCTCAAAGTACAAGTTCCCGCCATTTTCAATGGCGTACTCACTGTGAACTCCCACGATATCTTGACAAATGTACCCAGGACCCTGTTTTGTGGCTGTTTTGAGTTACCGCATGGGTTATTGCTGACTATAGTCACCCTGCTGTGAAGAGCTGCGGCTATGGCTTGTGTTAGTTCATCATCCTGTCCTTGCTCCTCTTCCCCTTTATTCTCCCGGGCTTTGGGCACCACCATTCCACTCTGAACTTCTGTGAGACAGACATTCTTTAGATCTACATACAGTGAGAGTATGAACTGTTTCCAGTTTCAGAACTCAGCTCCATTTCTTCCTAGAGAAGTCATCCTATCTCCCTTTCTGTCAGTCATTCTAAAGATCAGAAAGATTTGTTCTTTACCCATAGCATTTTTGAAAGGGGGGAGCAGGGGGAGGATGCATGTGCTATGTGTTCATGTGTGCATGTGTATCGAGATCAATCTCAGGTGTCTTACTCAGTTTCCACTTTCCTTTGTGAAACAGTCTAGTCACTAAGGAGATCCCTGAGTTGCCTAGACTTGGTTAGCCAGTAAGCTCCAGGGATCCTCCTGTGTCCACCTCCCCAGCCTTGGGATTACAAGTCTGCACCAACACATCTGGCTTTCTGTGTGAGTTCTGGGATCCAGACTCAGGTCTTCATGTCAAACTGCAAGCACTTTACTGACAGACCCCACTCCCCCGCCCAGCCCAATAGCATAGTTTTTATGTAACACTTCACATTTGAAATTTAGCAATTTTCAGCATTTTATGATTAATTCATGTTTCTTCAGGCAAACTGCCAACACTCTGGGGGCACAGGCCATGCCTTGTTTTGCTCACAATCATATCTAATCTAATTAATAACTAACATACAAATAGGCACTCAACATTTGTTTAGTAAATGAACAGATTAAAGAATAAAGGAAAACATAAAGGCAGCAGAGAATACAAAACCTTTACACTTTGAATTATTATTGAACAAAAAGAGCTGAAATTGAGAATCAGTTTAAGAAAAAAAAACGGATGGCCTAGCACTGTACTTACACAAGTGTCTGTGGTTTGCTTTTTGTGCTTTCTGTTCTGTAGTGTCAAGTGCAGAAAATTGTAACTGATCATGAGGTTGTAAAATCCAGTCAGAAGCACCATAGGTTCAACATGGCCAGACAATTCTAACAGTATAGAAATTTACTGAGATGTACAGAGTTTGGGTGGGGCTAATCTCACTGTGTAATTTTTAATTACTTTTTCCCTTTATTGAACATAGTTTTTCTCACATAATATATATCCTGATTACAGTTTCCCTCCCTCTACCCCTCCCAGTTCCTTCCCACCTCCCCTCTGTCTGCATTCACCCCCTTTCTGTCTCTAATTAGAAAACCAACAGGCTTCTAAGGGATAACATAATCTAATGTAATATATTTATAACTTAATAATAAAACAAAAGCTAACGCATTGGAATTACATAAAACAAACAGGAGGAAAGGAACCCAAGAGAAGACATTAGAACAGACACACTTGTTCACACACTCAGGAATCCATAAAAACTGGAAGCCATACTTTATACACAGAGGACCTGGGCAGACCCTCTTATAGACCCTCTGCATGCTGCCTCGGTCTCTCTGAGTTCAGATGAACTTTCATCATGTTGATTTGAAGGGGCTTTTTTTCTTGGTGTCCTCCATTCCCTTTGGCTCTTAAACTCCTTCTGCCTCTTCTTGAGCAGTGTCCTGAGCCCTGAAGGCAGGGATTGCATGGAGACA